TCAGCTAATCCACCAGTGACTGCTCGGCGCCCAGGCTGTGACTGGTGGGTTATCTGAGCGATCACAATGTTGGAAGTGTGGAGAGGCCGTCCGGCCGTGGCCATGGCGCTCGCGATGCAGACGATGAGCGCCGACGGGGTTTCCTTTGCTCTCATGAGCAACCCACACCCGCGTGAGTGCTGTTAGACAGAATGAGCAGCTACTTCTCTCAGTATTACTCATCTAACTGGAATAGCAATGGCTTCCAGTTGTTGGATAACGCTTTTGAAAGTGCGACAATAAGAACTGGAAACAAGAGAGTAGCTCCATTAATATTCCTTCGTTTGCTGAATATTTCTTCATTCCCTGACACACAGTAATACTGCCATACACGGGACACAGAAGGAAACCAGGTAGGGTTCGAGTTTACGCTCTAGCACAGTCGTTCCCAACCTTCCTAACGCCTCGGCCCTTTAACACAGCTCCTCATGTGGTGGTGACCCCAACCGTAAAGTCATCTTCGTTGCTACTTCAGAATTGTAATTTTGCTACTGTTATGAATCGTTAAGTAAGTCGAGAACCGCTAGCAGGGTCGCCTCAGACCATCGGAAAGCAGAGGAGCTGTATTGAAGGGCCGAGGCATTAGGAAGGTTGAGAACTGCTGCTAGCAGGTGGGTCAGCCAAACTCCTCGCTTTGGCTGCCCTCCAAAGTGAAAGACCCCCAACGATGTGCCCGAAGTGGCCTCGGTCACTGATGACACCAGCGGATCTGACCCCTTCTTCCTCCTCAGTCACCTCCCCGACCCCAGCATTTCTTCCCTCCCATTAGAAAGCACATCTGGAGCACATAGACCAGAGAGGACAACCTACTGGCAAGTTTGAAGGTACCGTCGCTTTGTGTGGTGGCAAATCTTCCTCCTCCAGGCAGCAATGAATCCATCCAACCTTTTCTCCCGTGCTGAATATAGTTTTATCTTTTAGTTTTTTATTTTTATTTTTTTTAAAATATATTTTATTGATTTTAAACAGAGAGGAAGGGAGAGAGATAGAGAGTTAGAAACATCGATGAGAGAGAATCATCGATCAGCTGCCTCTTGCACACCCCCTACTGGGGATATGCCCAAAACCAAGGTACATGCCCTTGACTGGAATCGAACCCGGGACCCTTCAGTCCCCAAGCCGATGCTCTATCCATTGAGCCAAACCGGTCCTGGCTCTTTTAGTTTTTTTAGAGCGCCAGGCCATTTGGCCATGATCTATGGCCCACCATAAACACCAACTGTGCCATCAGAGGGCGTCCCTGTGAGCCAAGCAGAGGTGAACGGGGGAACAGACCTGGAATGCAGCTCCTGGGGGAGTGGCCCTTGGGAGGGGAGGGTCAGGCCAGGCAAGAAATGAGGGATGGGGGGACTGCCCCAGGATGAGGGAGAGGGGATGAGGGGAGCAGCGTCAAGACTGTTTACAGTAAAACTGTGATGCATTCAGGGGCGAGGCAGAGCGCCTACCTCCTCCCCCACACAGAACTCCCGATGTGCTCAACCTGATGGGCCCCCACCAGCCCACACGTCCAAGGCATCCGTGAACAGACCCTTCGTGTGGCTAACGCGGGGGTCACGGGGTTGTCAGAAGTTGACAGGAACCTTTAGAGATTCGTAAGGACCAGCCAATCCGCCGGGGAAATTAGCTGGGCAGGCAGGCTGCACCCTCCCTGAGGGCTGCTGAGCAGGGGGCCAGGCAGCCCAGAGGAAGGAAAGGGGGGGCACAGGGTTGTCCCTGGCTTCAGATCCTGGCTCCATGGTCAGCAGCTACAGCAGTCTCCCCAGGACTCCACCTCCTGATCTCTGACTGGGGGCTGAAGGGAGGCCGGAGGGAGATGGCAGTTAGAGCCGAGCTCAGTGGCCGTCTGTCCCACAGTGAACGCTGAGAAGTGTGTACTAGAGTTTCTTCTACTCTTTTCGGAGGGACCCCGAACTCACGCTCACTGCCCAAAAGGGAGCAGCACTACTGATGGGCCCTCTGAGGCAGGAGGGCTACCTTCCCTTGGAGTTGAAAATGGAGGTTTGGAGGGATTCGGAACCCCCTGTAAGCTGACTCCATCAGGGGAGCGAAGCAAGCTCCGGTGGCGCCCACAGTCTGCTGTGTTATCCATCCACCTCCAAACGCTTGAGCGTACTGTATTTTACTTTTCAATGTGGTTTTTTAAATTGATTTGAGTAAGGGAGGGAGGGAGAGTCATAGTGAGAGAGAAACGGCGATGAGAGAGAGACACACACATCTGACCAGGAATCGAACCCGGGACCTCTTGGTTCACGGATCTCCGCTCAACCACTGGAGCACAATCACTGGGCTTGAGAGTATTTTAAAATGTTACTTCAGTATTCTAAAAACCACAACGTGTTCGATGAGATAAGGTTCCCATGAAGTCCCCCACCGTTCCCCCATGAAATCTGCATAGTTATTTATACAATCAGAAACACCTCTCAAATTCCGACAGACCATCAAAAACACTGGGTTCTTTTTCTTGACATAAATATGGCTGGATAAGTCATCCTGGCCATTTTAATGAAATGGCTTTAAGCCTTCAAAAGTACTGTGGACTCACAATGCATCAAGTCGCTTTTCTCTCTGGACCTGGAGCTGGGCACCTCCCAGGAGCCTGTGTCACATCTTTTTAAATATATATATATAATTGATTTTAGAGAGGAAGGGAGGAGAGAGAGAATCATCAATGATGAGAATGATTGATTAGCTGCCTCATGCACGCTCCCTACTGGGGATCGAGCCTGCAACCCAGGCATGTGCCCTTGGCCAGAATCGAACCTGGGACCTTTCAGTCTACAAGCTGATGGCTCTATCCATTGCGCCAATACCTCTTACACTATCTAGCAAGACTTACAGACACTTCATTGTGCCAAAAGGAAACACAAATATGTCCGTGTTGATTCTGTTCTCAAGGAATCGTCTTTTAGCACTCAGATACCGAGATCCAGAAATAATGTGTCAGACTGAAAAATACTTAAAAATCCAGCCACTCCAAGAAAGCTGGAAAGATAAGTCATCTTAGTCAAAACCGGCTTGCCTCTATCACATGAACTGGTTGCCCAGTTCCTTGAAAACACGGTTCCTAATCACTGGTAATCCAAGAGCGGTTTAAAATAACAGACATGCAGAGCGTGCCTGAGACACAGTAACATGGATAAACCAAGCCATCTCACTTAATTTCCCCCCACTTTCTATTGGCTTCACCCAGCTATCGCATATGCTTGTCACCCTTGTTGGTAAACACAAATAAGAGGACACAATGAGACGTGGAAATGGAAGCCGAAGAGAGCTTGACGTGCCTGAATATTTCAAGAACCCGCTGCCATTTCAATAACCCGACACTCCACGTATCAGAAAGCAGAAAGAACTCCCGCATAACTGTCAAGGTCGGATCATTACACAGGCGCCTTAATAAGACGCTGTTGGGTGCACACCATCATCCGGACAATTGCTATCCGGTAAGTGGTTTCAAAGAGCAATCTCTGGCCCGGAGCGGGCGGTTCATGGCCACAGGTCTGTCCGGGAGGCCAGGCAGGTGGGGTGCTGGCCATCACTTTCGGGGGCGGGTAGCGGGCGGCCGGGCGGTGGCCAGGAGAGCTCCCGCACAGCTGCCTTCCCTCCGGAGGGAAGCCGACACCCATGCCTTCATGGATAATTCAGCAAGGACTGCCCCATACATTTATAATGTAATTTAGGACTTTCTATAATGGCCCTGTGATCGCTTCCGAAAACAATAGTCTTAGGATAAAAGGAACTAGGGAATATCAAGTATGAAACGATTTCAGCTTCAGTTTGGAAAAAAAAAAAAAAAAGTCATGTTTGGTAGAAGCACCTAGAAAAGGTGATAAATCCCGAAGGCTACATTCCATAAAGAGCTGGGGGGAAAAGTTCCAGACATGTTGGGAGTTATCCCTAATAAATACATGTATTATTTAAAGTTACAATTAGAAATACCCTCATGGGCAAATTACAAGGTTATAATTAGGAGTATCTCATAGTATTCTTATAATAATTCTAACTATAGAAGTTCCCTGCACTGGCCCATATGGATCAGTGGTCAGCCTGCACACCAAAGAGTCACAGGATCGATTCCCGATCAAGGGGGGGAGGGGGGTCATGCAAGAGGCAACCAGTGGATGTGACTCTCTCACAGTGATATTTCTCTCTCTCTCTCTTTCCCTCCCTCCCTCCTTTCCACTGTCTATGAAAAGCATAGCAAATGGCAAAAATATCCTCAGGTGAGGATTAACAAACAAAAAAAGTTTCCTTTTAAGGATTTAAATCATCATCATCATTATAATAACGATGGGACAGAGGAGTAACATTTGTGGACATTCTGCTACATTGAAGCTCCTGAACCTCTGCCTGAGCCAGGCTTCTGCCCTGCACTCCAGGGGGATGGAAGTGTGAGCTGGTAACGACAGGAAATCCAGTGAGAATCCTCCTGGAGCCCAGGCTCAGGGCGGCATTCATTTCACCCTTCTGGCTGCAAAAAAGCAATCCGCTTTTTTGAGGTCTGGAGTCCCTTCAAGTGCTCAGGTGAAGGCAACCAACAAACGTTCCCAGAATCCGAGGGGCAGGGCCAAACACACCCACCGCCGGGGCCTGACCGTCCGAAGCCCCCCATCCAGGTGGGGAGCCGGGGCCGCCGGGGAGAGGCCCCCGGAGGCCGGGCCGGCGGGCTCCCCTGCACCGAGGCCCCGGCCGGGCCCAGGACGGCCCCCTCCGCCAGGCCCGGTGCCCGCCGGCCTCCCCAGGGCCAACTTCCGACGCGGGGAGCTCGGCGCGGGCTCAGGTGGCCCGTTAGCCGGACGGGGGCCACCCCGCGGCGCCCGCCGGGCCCGGAGGTCCTGGGGGGCATCGGGAGGCGTGGGGCCCAGGGGATCCCCGGAACAGGCGGTCCCGAAGGCCCTCCTCCCCAGTGCCCGGCCGGGCGGACCCTCCCGCGCCCGCGCCCCGCGCCCCGCGCCGCCGCCCACCTGTCCCGGGGGTCGATCCAGCTGGTCCGGCGCGTGTTGTGGTCGATGAAGAAGACCTTGCCGTCGTAGTCCCTGGCCTCCTCCCAGCCCCGGGGTAGCGGCAGCGGCCCGCTGCCCGCCCTCCTAGGCATGGTGGGCGGCCTGGCCGGCGGGCGGCGCCTCCATAGGGACCGGGCGGGCGCGGGGCGCGGCGGGAGCGCGGCTGCCTGTCCGGCCCGGGCGCCGCCCCCGCCGCGGGCGCCGGCGCGGGGCTGCGGGGCGCGGGGGGACCGCGCGCGGGGGGCGCCTCGGCGGCGATCGGTCCGGGGATCCGCCGGCGATCAGTCCACCATGGCTGCGCCGGGAGCCCGCGGTCCAACCCTCCTCCTCCTCCCCTTCCTCCTCCGAGGCCGCCGCGCGGCCGCCGCCGCTGCCTCCGCCTCTTCCTCCTCCGCCTCCGCCCGCCCGCGCGGCCGCCGGGGGTCGCGGTGCCCGGGCCGCCGGAGCCGCCGCCGCCGCCGTCTGGCGCTCGGATCCGGGAAGCGCGGCGGAGCGGCGGCCGCGGCGGCGACGGGCCTCCTCATTTGCATGCGATTTGCGTGTGGTTTGCATTCGCCCCGCCCCGGCCACGCCCCCGGCCCGCCCCGCCCGCCTCATCTGCATGCACATTCCTCGCCGCCGCATTCCAGGGCTTAACCCCGCCGCTGCCGGGGCGCGGGCGGCCGGGGGAGGGGCGCGGCCCGGGGGTAGGAGGAGGGGGAGGGGGGAGGGAGGGCGCTGCCGCTCGTTCCCGCCCCGGGGATCCCCGGTGCCCCCTCGGGCCCGGCGCCCCGCGGGCTTGGAGTCCGGGGCCGGGAAGGGCTGCGGGGCCCCGCTCCGGGAGGCGCAGGGCGCGCGGAGGAAAGGGGTGGGGAGTCGCTCCTGCGGAAGGAAAAGGCTCAGGCCCGGGCCCGGCCGACGCCGAGGGCACAAAGGGCCCCGCGCCGCGCCCGAGCCCCCCTCGGACCCCAGGGCGGTCCCGGGCGGCGGCCGAGTGCGCGCAGCGCCCAGAGCGCGTCCGGGCGCCGCCGCCCCGGGGCCCCCGCTTGGCGCCCGGCCCGTGGCCTCAGCCGGAGCCGCGGCCTCGCGGCGCCGAACGGACACCGAGACGGGCCCGCGGTCCGGAGCGCCCGCCGCCCGCGGGGACGCTGCGGGCCGATCCCACCCCGTCTCCCCGCCGCCGGCGCCCCCACCTCCCCGCGGGCCGTGCGCCCCTCTGCCGCCAGCCTCGGCGTCCAGGGGCTCGGACGGCTGGACGGGGACGTGTCCGGTGTCCAGCCCCTCCGTCCAGCCCAGGCCCGGGGAGGCCCCCAGTCCGGCCCCGGAGGCCCGGGAGCCCGAGGAGGCCCCGGAGGCGAGGGCGCGCCCGGAGCCAGCCCGGGGCGGCGCAGGCCAGGCCTCCAGGCCCCGCTGCCCCTGGAGGGCCGGGCTCCTCGTGCCCCGGCTCCGGTTTGTCCGGCAGCTGCCGAGGCCTGGTCAGCGCGGAGCAGCGGCCGGACACCGGGCGCGGGGCCGAATGGCGAGGCCTGGGCACAGCATGCAGCGCCCCCCAGCCCCTCCGTCTTGGGGGTGTAAGGTTTGAGGCGCAGGAAACTGACCACCAAGATATTTATTTTATTTATTTATTTATTTATTTATTTATTTATTTATCTTTTTTAAAAAATACATTTTATTGATTTTGTACAGAGAGGAAGGGAGAGAGATAGAGAGCTAGAAACATCGATTTCTCTCATCGATCAGCTGCCTCTTGTACACCCCCTCCTGGGGATGTGCCCGCAACCAAGGTACATGCCCTTGACCTGAATTGAACCCGGGTCCCTTCGGTCCCCAAGCCGACGCTCTATCCGTTGAGCCAAACCGGTCTCGGCCCACCAAGATATTTTAAAGTAAAGTTTATTCTCCAGGAATGAGCGGGACTCATTATGGCCTCAAACCTTACAGGGGGCAGCCTCCAAGCTCCTCCCGGGCATGGTCTACACCGCCGCCGCTGCCCACTCACATTCTCCTGAGCTCAACCACTCCTGGTGCGGGTCCTGTCAGTGGACGGTGAGGACGGCCCCCTTGTGCAGGGCCCAGCGCTGGGCAGGGCGGCACCTCCCCACCTGGACTCTTTCCTGCAGGGGCTAGTGCGTTGAGATTCACCAAGGCCCAGGGAGAACTGACGCCAGGTCAGGGTGCCTGCGGCCCACCCCCAGGGGGTCAGGAGGGTGGTCCCGGGGAGGATGGAGGAAGGGCCCAGCTTGGGGCAGTTCCCCTGCAGCGGGAACTGGACCTGCCTCTTGTGACCAGGGTCTTAGAAGCGGCTCCGTGTGCCCCTGAGCTGCCTGGAGACCACCTGGACTCTGGAGAGCTGGGAGTGCCCAGAACGGGGTGGGGAAGAGTCACCCCAGACCAGCTAGCTCCCTTTCTCTCTTGGGCTCAGCTTTCACACCGGGAAGCTAGGCTGGGCCCTGGGAAAGGGAGGCCGCCACCTTCTGGGCCAGGCCTCTGCCCACTCCGTCCATCAAGAGGTGACCAGTCTCCCGGTCCCCACTGAGATGCGGCCTCCTGGTAGGTGGGACTTCTGAATGAACGCTGGAGGTTAATTTGTCTAAATTACAGCATCGTCAACATATGCGTGACGGTATACAAATAACACCGCTAGCAACCCAACAGACCCTTCCGGCTCATTCCTTGCTTTCAGGCCCCCTGACCCCTAACCATGAGAAAACGTGTATTATCCGAAAATGCCCACATATTACTATTTTTATTTTTAAGGAACCTACTTTGCTGCTGCCGCCACAATCTGATTTGTTTCCCTGGGACGAATCGCAGCACAATACTTCTCGGCGTAATTTCAAACTGGATGAGCTTTCCGCTGCATAGTTTTACCCCACTCCTAACACCGCCGGGGAATCCCAATGGCGTTTATTGTTCCGTAAATCCTGAGGCTGCACACAGGAACGCTAACGGGAAAACAGAACTCTCAAGCAGTTCAAAGAGGAGCTTGGGTCTCCCCTCTCTCGGGCACAGGAAACATTCGGTCGCACAAAGGCAGTTAGGACGGCAGCACGGGGAGTGGCCGCTCCGGAGGCTTCTTTGTCTGGAACAGGTCTGAAGCCTGCAGCTCCGAGTTCACACGTTCCACATCCATCCCTTCAGTTCCCGAGGGTTCAGACAATGAAGTCTCATTTCCTTCGTGTGCATATCTGTCAAAACAAAACAAGCATAAAGATCATTCCTTTTTGGTAGTCGGGTACATTCCGTCCATCATTGGCAGAGAAAGATGGCCAATGCACTCTGCCAACACCGGGCCAGGGCCCCGCAGTCTGTGGAGGCGGCAGACACCAGCCACCGAGAGTCTGTTTTCTGACCTTCAATTCCTTCTCTCTTGCTTCACATTTTTCTCCCCTAATTCTGGGTGGGAATGAACAGCCCTTAAACAAAGTTCCCCTTTGTCAGTGCCCAAAATCTGGGTGGCAGAAAAATTAGTGATATCAAAAAGGGGGGCGTTTGATATGCAAAACACTACATTACATAATATTCTTGGAAATAAAATTATTTTTTAAAAATAAAGTTTTAAAAAAAGGGAGGCGGACAGTGAATATTATTTCAAAAGGTAATTTAGGTATGCTTACGCAAATGTAAGATGCACATACATGCTTTTTAAAAATGTGTTGTTTTTTTATTATTGATTTTAGAATTAACCTTTCTCAAGATGTGCAAGGGAGTTCACTGCAGCATGTCTGATAATAACAAAGCTGGAGACACCACCAGTGTCCATCAGCAAGTCACTGGTTAAATGAATTATGGCACGTCCGTACTCAGCAGGCGTTTAAAAAGCATCACATAAACATACACGCGCTGATAAGGAGAGATTCCCAGGATACTGCACGGTACGTGAGAAAGCCAGGTGCAGAAAGGCACTTGCTTACGTCACTGGAGACAGGGACAAGCATTAACTGTAAAGAACAACACAGACTCCTACGTAAGACCTGGTGTCAGAAGAATTCAGAGAGTGGCCGGGACTGGTTTGGCTCAGTGGATAGAGCGTCGGCTTGGGGACTGAAAGGTCCCGGGTTCAATTCCGGTCAAGGGCATGTACCTTGGTTGCGGGCACATCCCCAGTAGGGGGTATGCAAGAGGCAGATGATCGATGACTCTCTCTCATCGATGTTTCTAACTCTATCTCTCTCCCTTCCTCTCTGTACAAAATCAATAAAATATATTTAAAAAAAAAATCAGAGAGTGGAATAAGGGAGGAGTTACTGTGAACGGGGGAGGTCCCATCGGAGACCTAGGAGGAAAGGGGACATTAATGAAAGGGATGGGGCAGAGATGGGCACAGACAGGACTGCAGAGCAGACAGGCGGAGCGGGCACGCTGGTGGAAAGACTCGGCTGGGCAGAACACAGATGCGAATCTGGCGTGAAAGAGCCCAAGACTGACTGGAGCCTCTGGTTAGGAGGCCGGCCTGAGATAGGGTAAGTATGAGGCAGATAAAGGTCTGGATTAGAAATAAGGTAAGGCAGGGGGTGGGAGCGGGAGGGATGAAAAGGAGTGATCTGGCAAGAATTTGCTACTGATTAGATTAAGAAGGGAGCGGTGAACAGACGCACCGGAGGAATCTGGCGTGAGGCCAGGCGTTTAGGCCTCGGAGGGAGACTCAGAGCTGAAATAAAGGAGGAAGTCCGAAGGGGGATCTGATAGCACCTGTGCTTTGGGAAATCAGAGAGACCCAGCCGAAAGGTAAAGGTCAGGACTGGAGCTCAGACAAAAGGTCAGGGCTGCAACTATGTGACTGGATGTCCCCATCCCGAAGTCTGCGGGCCCCGAGGGTTCAGGACTGAAGCAACCTTGGAAGGGCAACCTCAGGGCAGGTGGGATAGAATTAGGTGACCCACGTATAGTTCCGTTTGGAGCCCATAACTCTCCGGGGAACTCTTTGGTAATTGGGTGGGAGTTCGTTTATTTCTCGGTAAAATGCGATCTCCTTTTCCAGCGATGATGTGTGTGAAGGTCAGTTGCTGTGGAAACCATCTCTGAAGGAAGTCGAGTGATAACCTTTGTAGCTAGGCTGGTGAATCGACTCCCGTGTAGGACGAGGTGGACTGTTTTTCAGTATTTCCGCAGC